CCCTGCTGCTGCCCCTGCTGCTGCCCCTGCTGCTGCCCTCAGCACCACCAACACCAAGCCAGGCTCCAGGGACAGTGGCGCTGGTAGTAGTAGCTTGGGCAGCCTCACATCTGTAGTCCCCACGAGCCACAAGAAGATCATAGCAACGAAAATTTTAGGGACAGTAAAGTGGTTCAACGTGCGGAATGGCTACGGGTTCATCAATAGAAATGACAACAGGGAAGATGTGTTTGTTCATCAGACTGCTATCACGAAGAACAACCCCAGGAAATACCTGCGCAGCGTAGGTGATGGAGAGACAGTGGAGTTTGACATCGTGGAGGGCAAAAAGGGTACGGAGGCGGCAAACGTTACAGGCCCCGGCGGAGCTCCGGTTCAGGGCAGTAAGTACGCGGTGGATCGCAATCGTTACAGATATCGCAGGGGCCCTCCACCCAGTCACCAACAAAACTACAGGGACAGTGGGGAAAAGAATGAAAGACCGGAAAAAGCTCCTGAAGGCCAGGCCCAACAGCGCCGGCCCTACGGCAGGCGAAGGTTCCCACCTTTTTATTTGCGGAGAACCTATGGGCATCGGGCACAATTTTCCAACTACTCTGTGCAAGGGGAAGTGATGGAGGGTGCTTACAGCCAGGCTTCAGGAGAACAAAGTAGAACAGTAAGACAAAATACCTATCCGGTGAACAGACCACGACTCCGCAGGGGCCCTCCTCAGCAAAGACAGACCAGAGAGGATGGCAATGTAGAGGGCTCAGAACATCCAGATGAGACCCAAGGTCATCAGCCACCTCGCTGTCGGTATCACCAAGTCAGTTATTCTTCCCAGCGCAGACGCCCAGACAACACTAAAGCCCAAGATGACAAGAAGACAAAAGCGGCAGATCCACCAGCTGAGAACGCGTCTGCTCCCGCGGCTGACCAGGATGGGGCTGAATAAATGCTGGCTTTACAGTTTCTAATATCCAGTTTGGTCATTCAACGAAAACAAATAAACACGAAATTCCAGCAATGAATGAACAAAGATTGGAAGTGAAGAACTAAAAACGCTTGCTTTTTGTCTGTTGACCAGATTCACTAACCATCTGCATTACCTCTGCATTAAGAAAGAAGAAAAAAGGCAAAAAGACCTGGTTTTTGTTTCATAGCTGGTTAACAGATTTTTAAGAAATTCATTTGTAATTTGCAATAAGTTCACAACTTGATTTTTTTTTCCAAAACAAAAATCTACAAGCCGCAAGCACCTGCTGATGACAAAAAAGAAGCAAGGATACACAATCAAACTGAAGTCTTCTTAGGCTAAGGGATTTGTTTTTTATTTGCTGATGAATAGATATGTGATTTTGTGGACTATTCTGGATGTGACTATCTTTACCACATATTTAGAGCTGCCTTTTTGAATAATAGCCGACTCTTTCAACTACATCATCATGGAGAGTTTAATGAGAGGAAGCTGAAGTCTGCTAATGTTCTCATTTACCCCAAGGCTTAAGAGCTCATCGGAACAATAGTAGAACCTTTGAAGAAGATGCTCACTTAAGCTGAAGTATAGGCTACTCATAATAAGGCTGCTGCTGGCTAATGGGGTGTGTTCCTACTTGCTTGAGAAACAACAGTAGGCGATGATCCTCACCTGGCCTTTTACCTTAACCCATTTGGACTCAACAATATCTATTTGTGATAGAACTGGCAGCCATCTATGCAGAGGACTAACTAGTGTCAACATTGTTTTTTGTGGGTTCACTTGAAAAGCAAGCTGTAATTAAGTTGGCCAAAATCATTTGTCAAACTCCAGCATCATTATATAAAATACTATATAAAAGCTCAGAAAATGTTTACTGCCTTGACCTAATTATTTTCTCTTTCTTCTTTTTGCAAAGAAAGAATTTACAGCATTTTCAAATAACATGAATATTTACATAGGGGGCTGACAAAACACTCCTGGATTGATAAGTTCAGTAAGGTTGTGTGATTCAAGATAAACATAAAAAATAAGTCTGATAATGTCTTAGCAATTAACATATGAACATTGAAATTAAACACAATTTACAATTTGCAGTTGCTCAAACACAATTGCAATGCCTAGGGTTAAACCTAAAAAAACAGATACAGGACCTCATACAATAGAAACGTCCTTCTTAAAAGCAAAACAAACTCTAAAACATTGTGGGGATGGGAAGATAGTGTTTATTTAACTTACACTTTTCACATCACAGTCCATCATTGAGGGAAGTCAGTGCAGGAACTAAAGTGGGAACCTTGGGTCAGGAACTGAAGCAATGACTATGAAGAAGTGCTGCTTACTGGCTTGCTCTCTTTAATTAAAAAAAATTCAGATTTCATACAGGAGTACAGTATTTAATCATTTCCACTTGTCCTTTCTTTCAAACTCATCCTGTGCACACCTAATCACCCTCAAATTCATGATCTCTTTTTAAATTATTGTTACATACATACACACACACACACACACAGCCTGTTGAGTTCATCATGAGCAACAGCCTCTAGTGTTTTAGGGTTCATACGTGTTTTAGGGATGACCACTAGGATTGGATAACCTGTGGGAGGGTAGTGCTTGTTCTTGGAGAAGGCTGATAATCCCTTTCTCCTCAGACATTAAGTGCCTAAAGCTCTCCCATCTAAAGGTAGGGCATCGTGAGATTCCCACCATCCGTATCAGCAAAATCAACTGGTGCTGTCTCCGTGAAGATCTTGTCTAGGCAACCATACTGTAGAGATTTTACTGTTGCAGCTTCCCTGTGATATATAGAAGACAGTGTCTCACAAAAGACTCCCTGGTAAGCTACCTCTAACAATCATTCTCCCCATTTCCCACAACATTCTCTGAAGCTTAGGTGTAAGAGTTGTGTGGTAGGTGTATCAATTGGGGTTTAGCATTCTGCAGTCAGTTGTTCTCTGTATTTTGTTCAGCTGTGGATTTCTATAATTGTCTCTGCTGTTAAAGGAAGCTTCTTTGATGAGGGGTGAGAGCTACACTTTCCTTGGGTATAAAGTATTTAGAGTGCAAGTAAAAATTATCCTGATTTAGGAAAGTGGCAATAGTAGGTTCTCCAATATGGTCTATGACCTCAACAGCCATGGATCGTTGGCTGGATTTACAGTACCAGGAAAGATTCAAATACAATTAGATGGCTGTTGGTTACACCAAAGATGAAAGTGTCCTCACTGCACCCTTGGGTATATTTTTCTATGCTGGTAATTATGGTTAATAAGCTTTCCAGCTTGGTAGGACTGTTGATTACTTTTCTCCCTTGCATAAGATTTCCTGATACAATGAGAGCTAATCCTCAGGAAAGATTTCAGGTCAGTTCCAACTCTAGTCTTCTAAACAAGCCCTGTGTCAAAATGTGGGGTGTCTTCAGCAATGGCTTCAAGTTCTAGAAGGAAACCAGTGGCAATGGCAATAGCCTATATATTTTCAGGGGCTCTCTTGAGTCTCCCTGACCACAATTCAAATGTATTTTATATGTAAATATGTATAAATATATATGTGTGTATTTTATTTTAAGAAAACACAAAATATTATTTTCCATAGCTTTTTCAAACATTCTTAGTGTTACTTAAAGATCATGAGTACTCTGAAGAATGGAAAGTTCAGACCATCTATAGGAAAAGGTGGAGGGTGTTAAAAAGGTAGATAGAATTCACAAACTCCTTGTCTATGCCAGTTAATTTCACTTAGTGGAATATTTGTCTTAATGACAGACAGCTCTATGGATTAATTGGTAGTGCTCCATTTTTCAAATGAAAGTGAAGACCCAGAGGTTGAGATTCCTCAATTGGTTTGGTGAAGGTCAAACCTAGGTTAATTGGATTCCCAAGGCTAGTCTTTCTTAGCTTACCATATTTTGCCTTGATGGAGCAATGACTTCAACAATCGTAGTTCAAGAGCAAGTTTGAAAAACGTTCTTTACATGACATAGAAGGGTATGTACTTCTGAAATTTCTGTGAGTCTCCTGTTGGTAAAATTCATGAAGTGAAGCAAAACACCTCATGAATTTTTCTGAGAGTTGATATGTAAAATCAACACCCAGAGAAATTTTCAGAAATGGCTAGGACCTTAGCAGCTCCAAATATGTAAGATCTCGATGAAATTCTGAGAATTGTGTTTTTCTTATCTCCTTTTCATTCCCAGTTTTCCTCTTCTCAAGTACATAAACAAAAAAAAATTATATTCTCATCAAAACACATGTCATTAACTGCTAATCAATTCAAAGCTCAGAAATTCCCTAGTAGCCTCTCACTTTTCAGAAATGCCAACAAGAGATAAAGTACTGCTGATTAAGCCTTGGCTAATAGGAACAGGTCTGTCTCAAGGGGCATCAGGTGCCAGAAACAGTACCAGCAAACATGGTCCAAAAGTAGGTCTTCTATTTGTAGGTGTCATGAAAGACATAGAGGCCCCTAGATCTTAGGTATTAATGCCTACTACTTGCCAAGATCACAAAAGTTGTCTTCAAAGAAAACAGATTGAAAAGACCATAGTCTATAAGCCAAGGGCTACTGGAGGTCAGTGAAGTACTCTAGGAAAAGAGAGTGCTCCTGGAAGGACAAATAGAACTTCTGGAATGAGACATGACTGACTACCTGGACACATATATAAAACAGCTTCAGGCACAGTTCTGGCCTGAACCTGAATAGCTCCCAAATAAATCACTATGTCCATTGTGTTAACTCTGTCCTCTAAGCAGGATATGGCCATAGCTGACTTCAAATCAGAGCAGCTGGGATTATGCACATGAACCACTCACAGGACTGGGTTTACGGAAACTCCCTCACAGAAGAGAAGGACAACTCCAGAGACATCACATAAATAACACATGAGGCTGCACAAAAGGGGCCATGAAGGTCCTGGTGGTGGAAATGTCTTCAATAGTGTATCTGCCTGTAAGTTGCCTATCCTGTTAGCTAATTCAAAAAACAAACAAACAAACCTCATTGATTCACCAAGACAGATTTTGGTGGGATCATTTCTCTAGTCTGCCATTGGTGCCATAGATGGGGTATATAGACATTCGTTCACATTCTTCCCCTAAAAGTTACTGCAGCAGTGCCTTCAATGACATTAAACAAGGTGGCAGATTTGGGGAGATGGCAGACACACACACACACAATCACACACACACACAAAAAAACTCACTATGGCTCTGGGTGAGAAAGGCTGGTTTTATAAGCAAGGTTAAATGGGAGAAAGGCAAAGAATATGCAGGATGAATATGGAACAGGTTGGAAACTATGTAGATGGTAAGACAGGAGCATCTACCCCAAATGCTCATGGGATTCCTGACCACTGGAATGAAATGCAGTGTGATGGAATCACGCTACCTAAAAGCAGAGAGGGAATAGAAATGACAGCACCAGGGACCCTTAGTGTTCTCAGATTTCTCCTGCATGATAACGATACTCCTGAGGGTCCCAACAATCCCTGTGAAAATGTGAAAAAGTAGCATCTTGCCGAGGACTTATATTGAATCATGACCATTAGAGGTTGGCAAGAGGGTAAAGCATTTGTCTAGCAACTGAGTCTAGGTACCGTTTACTGTAAACAGCTTTTCTATGGTCTCCTAGTGACTTGCAGAGTGACATAAGGACTGCAGTGAGAATGTGAAACTTGGGATTCTAGTATCTGAGTTCTAAGTCCAGCTTTGCCCCTTATTGGTTATATATCTTTGTACAGATGATTTAATCTCACAATGTTCTTGGCTCATATCTATAAAATGGAGTAAATAACAGTACCAACAAGTTAATTGCCACAAAGATTAAATAAGAACTGGAAAAATAGCTTAGTGGGTAAAAGTACTTGTCATGAAAGCCTGAGTCTTAAATCAGATTCCTAAAGCTCAGTTACACATACATCTCTCTTTCACACACACACACACACACACACACAAAATATCAATAAATGAATTAATTCTTAA